TCGCCCGCGCACTCGCACTCGCACGTGGGCAAGGGCGAGCACGTGTGCAGCCGCTACTGCGGCGGCAGCCACACCGTCACCGCGGCCTTCCAGCGCGTCGTGCGCAAGGGCCACTTCGCGCTGCAGGAGGCCGGGCCCGAGTGCTCGCAGCTGCTGCCCGAGCGCGGGCCGGCCAAGCCCAACGGCAAGCCGCACTCCGCGCCCCAGCCCCAGCCCCAGACCCAAGCCCAGTCCCAGACCCAGCCCAAGCCCGAGTCCGGCGACGCCGCCAACAAGAAGAAGTGAGCGGGCGAACGCTCCGGCAGCGGCGCTACGGCAGCGGCCGCCCTCGCCGCAGATGACCTCACGAGGGTGCGCGGAGAGGCGCGCGGCGCGGCACGAGTGGTCAAGGACAGCCCTGTGCTTAGCAATATGCGCCTACAGTTCGCGCGCCCACACAGAAGGGCAGTCTTCTCGTACCGCCTTGCGACAACTAAGCAAGTTATTTCTATGAATTAATAATTAAGTACAAATAAATAACTTAAAGAGATAAAATGTTCCTACATTTCTTCTATGGAAATGATCCATATTTAAATAACATAATAGTGTTTCATGAAAATCTTTATTGTCCATGACCCAGAAATATGTATCGTAAAAATCGTAATAATTGTATTACACAGAATCATTGTAACTGTTACAAAAGGATCATCGGGCGTGATAGGGGGGATATCTCGCTTGATTATATTAGGAATTTTTGAGCTGTGATGAAACGTTACTTTTTTGAAAATATTTTATGGGAGTCCAGAAGACGTACTTCCTATGCACAAGTTCACTAAAACGGTCGTGAAATCGTTCGTGAAGAGAAAGCGTGCGTGTGGGGTGAGGCAGTAATGGTCCACGAGTATTAGCAACCTTGGTGACGAGGGACGATTGATGTGTACTCTTATTGTTTTCGCTTCTTCTGAGATGTTGGCAGTCATTTTACATAACACGTTTCGACTGATATGGATGTTTACAATACTTCTGATTTTCATTAGTACAGTCTGAACTTTTTTTAAAAAGTTTCATTCACCAGGGATTTTGTTCTTGTCGAAATGCCCCAATTTCAGTCTCAAAGAGGTATAAACGGAATAATGTGAAGTATGTTCTCCATTTTCGACTAGTCCTGTGTGAAATATGTTTGGAACCAAGAAAACTAAGGTTTACCAATTTGAAGACTCTCACCTCCTCTAGTACCACATTGTATAAAGATATCTATTTATTTTAGGTATTTTCTTCGTACATTCCACACTTTTATCACTTGGAATGCATTAAAATGGCTTTGTCTGTAAAATCTGTAATAAAAACAAGTTAAATAGTTAATTTTGGCAGGAATTTTCAATTTGTAATACGATTAAAAGCGAAGAATATTTCATATTCCTGAACCTTTCTTAGGTATTTCACCGAAAAAATATGTAGAGCGACTATTTTATTAGTATGCGTCGAAAATTCGTGGAAAATTCTGCTCGGCTGACGGGTCCTCAATCGCTGAGGAACGGTGCCCGAACTCCCCTGGGAACTCTGCCCAAGGTCTCGCCCTGCAAAAGGCATGCTTGAATAGTCCGTTTCTGATGGATTGCTCGAAGTTAACTCTCAAACTGAAAGTGTTTGCGTATGACTCATCAGTAAAATGTATCAAACCGTTATGTGCATTGTATCCTGGAGCCTTTCTTCTACATGTTGACAAATGAAGAGCGTAAATACGGTTATTTTCAACAGGACTTTGCTACCGCACACGCTGCTTTAGTTTCTTTAAGGGCTTTAGATACCGTTTCTGGAGACAGAGTTATCACAAGTAGTTTGTGACCTGCACGATATTCTTGTCTGACCTCGAGCATTTTGTATCTTTGGAAATTTCTGAAAGATCGCATGTACGCAATAAATTCTCATACGGAAGAATTACGGCACAAAATACAGGAACATACAGTAGTGCTAAAAAACGCATCTTTCCCGCACACTGCAATATAATCCTGAAAATACACCACTTGATTTGCAAAAGTTGACCAATATATATATA